AATACAGAGAAAGTTAACATTATAAACATTTTTTTCTGTGCAAGACCTGGTATTCCAGTAAACGGAATAAGTGTCAAATGATTTAATCCTCACTAAATGCATAACACATTTGATGCATTTTCGCTGCAATACAAATACCTGAAAATGACTATATTTTTTATTAATTAAAATGAAACAAAATATAAAAATTTGCAATGTCATATCACACACAAACACACACGCACGCACATAAAACAAACAAACAAAAAACATACCAATTTCATGGAGTGTTATTTGATTAAGTCGATAAATAATTTAAACGTGATAATATAACATATGATGTCAGGTATAAATTAAGTAAATTTAATAAGATTTAATAATTAAATATTACAGATACAATGAACTGTTCTTGTTCATCGATTAAAAATAATTGTATCACATTCGAATATGAGAATCAAAAGAAAAATGACAATACTAAGACGATCACAGACAAAATATCAGGTACTTCTGTTTTTTTTTTTTTAAATTTTTGACAAGCTCCCGCAAGCCATGATATCCGTGAATATTTTATTCTTTGGGACAACGTTTTGTAACAAATGACCAACTGAACAGATTTGTTTTGATACCGTTTGTTTTACAAAAATAAAATTTAGCAAAATGTTACTTTTACTAAAATTTGCAAAAACAAATTTTCATTTTAGAGTTGATAGATGTGGTATTTATAAAACGTGCTCTTCTGTAAACCATGCCGTGAACTGTCATGAGAAATTTATACAAGGAAAACTACTTTGCGTCATTAAGATGCATATATCTTTATTTGCCGTAATATGTACACAAATAAGAAATGTCAATGACAGCCTTAGTGACGAACATAACATTTGAGAATATGACTTGTACTAACAGTTTTAATTACATTTGTTATATTAAATAAACAACTGCTATATTCATGGAATATAGGCAACTTAAAACGTAACTAATGAAAGATATAATGTTTTGAAACGTATTTCCATTAAATCATCTAGAAAAGATCGTTTTGTTGGATGAACTAATCTCGCCAATCGTTTGTTCTCCGGAAATGATAACAAAAGAGCATCAAAGCATCTTGTATTGTGGTCAGCGTTTACTTGCTTACCTTCTGTATATTCTATTTCGGGGTATAATTGTTAAATATCTTTTCAAAGACATAATCAAACTTCACCATACAATTTCTTTCACTTTGAAATAGAACTTCAAATATATTGTTTAGCCATTTTGAATACAGTGTTTCTTGTAAGCGTTATTTTTTCAATTTTATATTCCATATTCCAACAATATGTTTATGATTTTTAATATTATATCAGCATATGATTACATGTATCAATATTTTATAATGTTATACTGCATTACAAGTTCAAAAGATGGACTTTGTATATACAAGTATATCTTATTTACATACATATTTCAAATTAAAAATTATATCTTGTTATGCTCGACTCATTTATATGAAATGGGTGTTATGTAATTAGCAAATGCAGCTCCTTATATATGCTTGTTATTTAATAAACAAACGCTCCCACCAGAATATCGTAGGTTGAGCAATCATGTCGTAGCAAAAAGTCTTATATATGTTTTGTTATTCTCAAGGAACGTAACACGTATACTTCTGCATATTTTCTTTAACACATACAAAGGACTGGCACTTCTTTTGTACATGGTTTCCTCAAAGGTTTCATTATAGACATTGTGAAGATAGGCCCTACTTTAAAAAAGCACTTGTTAAAAACACTTGTCTCGAAGGGATAACGAAGAATTATCGATCGTGTAACTTAAGCGCGAAGCTTGTTAATCTTGTTTCCAAAAATTATCACAATTGAATGTCAGAAAAAAATTCATCGTTTGAATTCTTTAGATCATTACGAAAGCTGCGTAGGTAACATTATGTTCAATGAGGTATTGCAAATGATCACAAGTTTGTCCGTCTGTTCTCTTTGTCATATTGCTTTGTTACGTAACATTTATTTATTTAAGAACAAAGGTGATATTTACTATACTTCTGAGTAACATTCTTTTATCTTCTAACAACTCTCGATATCAATAGCTGTATAATTACAGTTATTATTACATGCAAAGACTTTTCATAGTTACAATGTCTCTTTTATCTTGTTGTTTTAAACTTTACCGATAATGCATCCGTGATTGATACGTGTATATTTTTCAAGGAAATTCTCTACTTTACAGGGTACAGCTTATTATATTTTGCTAAATGCTTATTAAATCCTTGTTTTAATACGTCAGTATAACATTGATTGAAATGTTTCTCTCTTTTATGATAATAATAGCAATGTTTAACTTTATTAACAGATAATGTAACGCTCACAAAGTCTTTGCTTCTGAAGCCTTCATCATACAAACTCAGTTCTGATACGTGACAACACTAAAAAATACTGGGTAAAATTATAAATACTATTACTTAAAATAAGATTGAAGGTATGACGTTTACAATGTTCGCAAGTTTATATATACATGTAGATACTTAATACTTGTTAACGCGGTGAAACCTGTGAATTGTATAATTCAGTTATTTTACTCAAAACTTTTCATAGTACAATTCTCTTTTATCTTGTATTTTAAAAAAAATTTACCGAAAAAAATATCGTAAATTGGTTTTCACGCGCTATATTTTTCAAGGAATTCATATGATTTACAGGACAGTAAATTTCTAAATCTTATTAAATCCTTGTGTTTAATACGCAGTTAAATTTGAATTGAAATGAGTTCTCTCATTTTTTAATAATTGAATGTTTGTTTATTTAACGTTGGTAAGGTCAAAGTCTTTGTTCTGCCTCATCTACAAACTCAGTTGATACGCGCGCCTAATCGGTTTACGACATGTTTCTTCATATGACCCCAGTTCTGATTGGATACAGGAAGCGGACTCGAAATTGGTTAATCAAAGTTGCATGAACTTGTTTCGTTATCGAACTTAAAAAATATGTTTAAACCAAACCAAATGGTTTGTCCTGATAAAAAATGGAATTTAGGAGTCAGATTAAGGTGGCAAAGGTTAAAATGTACATATCAAATAGAAACTCTAAGCAGTTGTGAAATCATGTCCAATTATTGTAGGCTAATGTCATATCTTTGTTCAGTGTACCAATTATTTGTATCAAATAATTGCCCGGGCTGACGTATCGATTTCTGAATCTACTCGAACCATTATGAAGCATTATCTGGTACAATATGTGATTGTATTTGTTCTAGGATCGGTGTAATCACTTAATGTTTACAATAAATCTTTCCACGATAGTTCTTGAACCTACCGATGTTTTCGCTCATTTGTATAAAAGGTACACCTACATTGAAATACTTTTTGGATAGAAATAGTTATAAAAGATAACACTTGATATTGTTCAGTGCATTGTTAAATCAACCATATGTCCTGGCATGCTATTGTCAATTAGAGTTGTAAAGTCTACTATAATACATTAACAAATCCATATATATTTAAAAAATGGTACTTAAATTAATATAATTATAAATATTAGGTAACATTGATAAACTATGTTTTGTAATTTTAAGAAACGCGATAAAGAATTTAAAAATGAATATGCGGTTTGAAAGTATACTGTTTGTAAAAGAGATATTTTATAAAATTCATAGCATTTAAAATTAAGGGCACATAATACAATATGGTTACGCAACAAAACAACATAACTAAAAAAAAGGAAACAAAATATCTCATCACGATTTTTGTATTTGTATAAAATTGTTTGCATTTTTTTCACATTTAGGGATATGTTATAATATACGAGTATTTGTTTTAAAGTCACACAATTGTCGCTAAAATCATAAATTAAACACCTAACCTTTATTTTTATTTTTTTATCATTTTTTTTATTTCTCGAACAATGAATGTTAGAATAGGTATATACTTATATACTATAGCATCTACATATACTCTTATAATAGTTGAATTCAATATTGATTGATTGATTGATTGATTGATTGAATGCTTGATTATTTTGATTGCTCGTTTTACTGACGGATTATTTTTACAAACAAATACCTACTCATTTGAAATACAAGAATAGTTTTTATGTTTTCTTAAACAATTTCAAATATAATGCCACAGAAAGAACATATAATTAGATCTCTTTGAAAAGAGACCAAAAAATCAGTTCGGTTTCATTTCGTAAACATATGAAATTTAATAGTTTTACATTAAGACACATGTGTCATAACGTAATTGTCAAAAAATTTTGGCGGGAAAATAACTCCCTCAACAATAATTTATTGACATTGTTAATTTCAATGGAACAGAGGAATGTAAGCAAAAACAATCGGATATAAATAAAAATTCCTAATAACCTTTCACATTTTGATGTTGGCAGATGTTGAAATGATTCATATGATAATGTATGTAGATATATTTACATAACTTATAGATAGTAAAATTACAGGGTGGTGCAATGAACGCGCAGATATTATTAATAATTGAATCTTTGCATCGCGACGTTTACTCTGAAAGTGACTCTAAAATAATTTCAGAGAATACATACAGCGTCCGGTTTTCACAACTTTCACTGTACATGTATATTTTAACCGCTTTTTCCAAATTAAATTATATGAAAATTGCCTTTTTATGGACACCGAATATTATCAATTATTGTGCAGTTGAAAATATAAATGGCGAAAGAGTGGCAATCATTTGCATATTAAATACAATAATAATATTTCTCATTTTAAAATATGTAACACAAAATATACAAAAGATCAAATATATCTTAAATAAAATGATATTAAGAAACATATATACATAACTTTCAGAGACAAAAAGAAAGAGAGTAAGAATCAGCTTAGTTATAGGTTTAATATTCAACAAGTGAAGGAAATAAATAGCTTCTTTCAATTCGCTGTTAACTGTGAAGTAAATAGTATATTCTATTTTTAACAATCAATCTATCTGATACGTGATATAAAGGATATTTCTTTCATTCCATTCTTTAAAGGCAGTTGCTGTTTGATTATTCTTCCCGTATAATCTCTATCGTTCATAGGATCGACCGGAAGTTAATTCTTATCTCGTATTGAAAATTGTAGGAGTAAACTGGCCAATCATAAATACTAATCCGCGCTCAAAAGTAGTTCGCCTCATGCCAATTGCTTGGTATAAATACGTCGTAAAACTGATCGGCTAATGGTCATAACTTGTGAGAAATTCCGATAAATTCTATTAATTTAATACGGATTCACTTAATTGTTTTTTGTTCCTTTCGTGTTTTGTTTCTTGTAACGGCTTAACAATCTATTTCATCGGAGAAGGTCAAGAGTATCTTCAAATATTTGGATAGAGAAGAAGCAACGTTTAATGAAAATACCAGGTGCTGTTTATTTCTTTTATTTTTTCTAAATATTTTGCTTTATTGCATGTTTTACTATATGTTAGCGACATTTTTGCTTGTTAAAAGTTAGTTTTTTTTATTTTATATCGTATTATTATAATTATCGAACAATGCAAAGTAAAATATAAATTTTGTTTTGATTTCTGCCTTTTTGTGACGTTAAAATGCAATTGAAATAAAAAATTGCCAGCGTGTCTTTTTTTAATGCAGTCTGTAAATTTGGACTTTTTTGTTTGCTAAAGGTATAAAATCTTTCATTTATTCTTGTAAAATTAATATTTTCTCAGGTGTTTATATGGATAATATTTGTCAAGAAAAAAAGTTAAGTTTTCTAGATAAGATATTAATTTTCTGTAAGGAAAATACGTCTCGTCTCCAAGCAACTGTATTTTTTGAGGACACAAGGAGCTATTAAAGTAAAATGTTGAAATCGATGCCAGAATATTGACATCTCCGTGGTTGTAATAAAAGATGCCAATAAAATAGATTATTAGTGTCAATATTAAAATAAATCAAATATTAAATAAACATATTAAACCTCAACATTAGGAAATGTTCGGTAAAGTTAATTATGGTTTATGTTAAGTTGTTTTTGCTATATCAATAAATGTCTTTTTACCAAAATATATTCTAAACGAAAACGTTCAAACGAAAGTGGTCGTAATGAAAGATCGTCATATCTATTAAATGATACATTCTTTAACCGTTTGTTTTTATGGATATTTTTGTTTTGCTTTTATGCACTCAACTTATCATTGTCAAAGGATAAACGTATTTATGTAAAAAAATCTTGTTGGAAAATAAGGCATGAACTAAAAAAAATTGTCATTCTCGTTAGAACTTTATAATTACTTTTAACTCAAGTAAGGAAACTTTATTAATTTTTCGATCTTTTATAAATGCAAAATTATTCATTTGCGTTTTATACATATCTATATAGACACTTAATTCATCATTTTATAAGTTTAGCTAAAGGTATGATATTATACCGATATGCTAAATAATTACTGAAACAAAAATTAGCAATTTTCAAATTAGTCTAATGGTCATATGTTAACACTATTTCATCAATCATGTAGGGATTAGTAGCCGTTCACTTGTAAATAAGTGGATAATTACTGGCTAGTTTTCTAGGAAAGGCGGTTAACTAAACTGGCCCAAAATTATGAATAAAAGAGAGAGAAAATGTGATAATAAGGATAATATAATCTTGAATTGTATTCAGCAAATAGATAAACTATATATTTTTTTAACATTATCATCATTTATTAAACGATGTCTTAAAATCGACGTAACACCAAATAAATCAAATTTGATAGAAAAAAGTGTTTGACAATTAAGAAAATAAAAATGAATAAAGACTGCGCTATTCTTCTATATTTTCTATGTATCTAATAAATTGAATGTCTATGTGAACTTGTATTCAAGTGCAGTACATTAATATAAGAGTGTAAACTGAAGCTGCAGTCGAAGTAAAGTAGACAGAACATAAATTTAGATCAAATAACAACTACCAGATATAGCTTTATAAACGTATTTTATTTAACACACCGTTTAGCAGAGTCATTAGATAGATTGTCAGTATAAGTGATTTATCTCGATTTTTTGTTCGTTATCAATACTCGCAAGAAATTGTCGATGTTAAAAAAGGTATTATTTACAATAATGTGATTATAATCATAACAAAAGTGTCTATAAAACGTTAAAATAATGTTCACAAATGTAATAATTCTGTTAATTGGTATTATACAGTAAATGATTACGATAATACAATGTACCACAAATAACACACCTTAACATTGGAGCAGAGTGAAACTGTCAAAGAAGATATTTACCTTTATCATAATAATTTTAAATTTATCGTTCAAATGTTCATTTTGTTATCGTCCATGGCCTCTAATTATCTAACACCATTCAGTTATTCTAAATAAGTTTTCATTTTATAACAAAACAAAAATAATATTAATAACTAAAGAAAAAAGCAAAATATTCAAATAATGATGATTAAGAAACAAGTTGAATTAAAAAAATGATAATAAAATCTTAAAATGTATTCAGCAAATAAATACTATATATTTTTTTAACATTATCATTATTTATTAAACGATGTCTTCAAATAAAACAGTTTTAAGGCGAATTTTGCATTGAATACTGAAAAATAATCACACAAAAAAAAAACAAAAAACAAAACAAACCAAAAAACAAAAAAAAAAAACGGTTGGTAATTTTCAAAAGAAATTATATTTAATTTATAGCATGGATAAAGTGTGATATTAGTAAATGGACGAATTGTTAATTGTTTTAAATTGACAGTAATCTGTTCTTTATTAACATCTCTTTGAATTGTTTCTAACACGTATTGTCTGAAATATATCAAACGCTGTGTGAATTCGTCACGCCGACTGTTACCTTTTCATTTAGGTATAATCGCAGTCAAAGCCTTGTACAGATGTACAAAAATGAATAAATGTGATTAAAAAATACAGAAATTACAGACGGACTTCACGTGTCAGCTGGTCATTACTTTTTCTACTTTGATCTTTGCCGCTATCAGGAAGCATTTATGCGATATTCCTCGATTGAAAACCTTTATGCCTGATCAAATGGTTTTGACGCTGTCACTTAATACATAGCTTTGTCGGAATCGATTACTGCGACTATGATTAAAAGAACACTTCTCTAAAAACTATTGTCTAACAAGACAATTATTACATAATTAAGTTCAAATGTAATGAAAAGTCGATTGTGACATATGTTCTATGTAGGTGTTCAAAAGTGTCGGTCCCATTTGTTTCATCAAAACATTTTGAAATAGACTCATGACGTTTAACAAAGTTGTAAAATAACGAAAATAGGATTAAACGCTTTAACTTATTTATCGACTTTTCAATAAAAAGTCAATTTAAGTTATTTTATAAAGTTCATTGCTGCCAAATAACAATTTATTTTCATCATAAAAATGAACATAACTAACAGCTTAAAAGACAAAAAACAATAAAGGTGCATATGATGTGAGAAAATACACTTTAATAAGACAGGAAGACATTCTGATATATCTAGGCAATGTTAAAATCAGCATTGGGATTGAAAAAGTGAAATATGTGGCAATGATTGCCAAATCGAAAATATAATAGATAAAACTTGGCCGTTCTTGAATGAATTTATGAATATTCTATTCGTTATCAATATTCTTTAACGCAGACATATAACGGTTCTAAAATCTACTTGCAAATTTTATCGTATATCTGTAAAACTTACTGAACGTCTTTGTTTCTTTGCTTAATGTGTTTACAATATAACAGCTAAATATCTTTAAAACATCTTAGGTTCTATTCATTTTGTACAAAATGTAATTGATTTATACCAAACAAGATGTACTGATGGATAAAACAGTATATTTTCAACACGTTAAATTAAATGGTCGTGGGATGTAACTGCTGCAAGTACTGACATGATCATATTCAAAGATATTCAATATAATTTGAAACAAAAATCAGGAAGAGTCCTTGAAAACAATATAGAAATGAAAAGGTGAATTTGATTGAGTCTGGTTAGGGTTTAACACCTTTCATGTCGCATATTAGTTTTTGACTTAACCCATTACTGCATGAGCATTTTGTGAAAAATGGCTACTTTCATTGAAAAGTCTCCCGTTTCATGTTCAAATTTCTATAAAACTATAAAAACTGCTTTAATACTTAACAAACTTGGCACAAATGTTGCCTTTGTAACAACATGCTCAGTCTTAAAATTTCCTGTTACCATGGCAACGAGGGGACATCTCAAAAATGCAAAAAAAACACTTTTTGCGTTGATTTTTTTCATCAAAATTAATTTCAAAGTGCTGCAACTTCTCAGTGGATTGAGATAGAGTCAAAGACTTTTCAGCGTTGGTTACACGTTACCTTATGATCGACCTGGGGTCATTTTTAGTCTTTCACAAGTCCAAAATTTTCTTTGCGATGAGGTGGGCTACCGCCCCCTTCAAACCCCCAAACAGAAAGGGGCAACCTCCTTTCTGGCAACCCCATGATGTATCATTTCGATAAGGGACGGCGCCGAAAACGTGGTAACTTTTTTAAACAACATTTCTCAAACAAAAATAAGTGTTTGGGGTCTAAATAAGGCATTTTTTCACCATTTGAGGCAACAAAAAGGGTTGGCGTCAAAAAGGCGTTAAAAGGCGTGTATATCTGGTAATGGATTAAGTACAAACGGGTTCGAACCAATTACATATTCCGGAGCACAAAGAAGCGGAATAAAACCTGAATGTACGGTGCAACTTTATTATAACTACCACTCAATACTCAACGCATACCATAATCATTATTAAAACCATTAATCATGTTATTTTATAGAATGACATGTTAAGACCTCCATCAAATGATAAAAAAATCTCAAAACGTTATTTTCAGTCCCGTCATGTCAAAAAACCTTAGTGGAGTACTTTGGGGAAAAAAAACAAAAGTAGGTCAACGTGCATGCCCGTTTGCTCATTTGTTAGGATTTTCTATGGTATCACTGTCTGCAAAAAAGTCGTTATTTAAAGGCATGAGGAACACAACAAATTGAAATCAGTAGGATCTGAATGTAACATTAGTGTTTTAAATACAGATCGTATTAATGACAAAACATTGAATAGACATCCAGATTGCGCCGTGAATTAATAAATAACAATCACTATCTTGTCTATGCACTTCCTTTGGCGAAGAAGGATTGCTGCATGTTAGTATTGGCGAATGAGAATCAAATGTTCGTGACAATGTAATGTTTCTGATTTAACGTCAACTGATAATAAAATTAATGTTACAGAATTAATTCGAAAACCCATTCTCTCCTAAGTTGATAGTGTAAAAGTTAAACAACACATTTGTTGGAAATTAAGGATCGATTCAGTCTGCCACGATCAATGGGTGTTAAATTAATGGTTAATGTTGACAAACTCTTCAGAGATTTTTTTATGATTTCTAACATATCAA